AGAGTAGAACATTGGTCTCTTGTTTCTAGAGTATACTTTTATAAATGGTACCAAATTATCCTATGAAAATACTATAGAATAATTAAGGATATCTGAATTGATATGACATCTAGCTACAGGTCTATCGTAAACATTAACCTAATTTGTGCATTTTAAGTAGCAAAAATATCTAGTGAGTATTAATGTTTTCAACTCCTTGACATATATTGAATAGTTTGTGCTTTCTTTAGATACCAGAGGGAAGAATATATTCCCTAAATTCTGTTCATGGGGGAAACAGTTAGTGCTGTTTGCTCAACTAATATCCATGGTCACTTTATATCTGACAAAGAGAACTTTGAGTTGGAAGGTGGCAAGTTTCCTGGCTTAAAAGATTTACTTTCTCCAACTCCTTTGCATCAAGGAGTGGTCTTGTGACACAGTTCTGATCCATAAGACATTAGTTGGGAGGCCCTGGGATAGCTTTGCTTCTCTGCTAGATTCCTTTCTTTTCTCATCCCACTGTTCTTTTTGCTCAGAATAGACTGAATGCTTGGAGCAGCAGCTCTCTGGGGACCGTGAATTTACAACGTTGGGCATATTAAGGAAAATGAAAAGTGTCTGGATACCCACTGCGGTCTTGAGCCACAATTCCAGTCCTGGACATTTTATTGCATGACTTGGGCCTCTGTGCTATTGTTTGCTGGATTTTCTATTATCTGCTGCCAAATGTTTGTTCTGAGTAATAACAAAGAATCATTTGCCAAACATACGTTAATATTCTGCTACTTCTAGGATTCCATTCTGGGGTTCACTGTGCCCATTCCTTCAAATTAGCCTCACTGTCACTAAAAGTAAGAGAAAGGGGGAAAATGCTAAGCCATATTTTAGAGTGAAAAACAAAAAATGAAGATGAATCCAATACCATTTTAATTGACTTTCTCTAGTTTTTTTCCCCTCGAGTTTTCAGGTTTCTTTGAGTTCCTCCCTTTGCCTACTGCTCTCTCTATGCTTAGGGACATCTCCCTTCCACACCAAATCTCTTAATCTGCATAAATTAAGTATGAAATGCAATGAGAAAATTGGCTGCACCAATGTCTGCCCACAGAATGAAGAGGACTCGCAGTATAACTAGCAAGGGAAGTGCTACAGTTGAATGGTAGACTCTTTACAAAATGCAATCAAGCACTTAGGCATTCATGTAGATTATTTCAGTTAATTCGCACATCATTGCAAAATAGAAACCTTTACTCTCATTGCTGTGTGAATTATGTAGGATGTTTGCAAACACTAGCACCTTAACTACTTACCATGTCATTTAAAACCAAAGATGCCTTCATTTTCCTAAAACTCTTCTTCCTCTGATATTTAGTTTTCCAGAATGTTATGATGTTTGAAATCTAATAATTTAATTTCCTTAAACAGATTTCACATTTCAGCAACATAGACATTTTTAATACCTAATATACCTGCTAGAGCTTCAAAAACTGATTTTTAGGACCAGGGACTTAGAAAAGTAAGGGCATTTCTTCTTCCATTCTCCATATTCAAAGAAAGCAAATATTCAAAATTACATATGAGCATTAACACTTTAATGTAATTAGACATGATTTTCTATTATTCATTTTGCACACTGCTTTTAGATGTGTGTGAAGAGACATTTTAAATGAATGTAATAGAAGTCGTTTATTTATAAATTCATAAATACATATTGCAACTAAATGAACTCTGCAAAACTTATACTTAAGTTATTTGCTATGACACTACCCAAAACCAGTGTTTCCAAACATCATTCAGTCATATATTACTTTTGTGATATTGAGGTACCACCTTTACTATAGTTGTTTAATATTGTTCTTTAAATTGATTTAAAACATATTTACACATTAAGCTTGTCTCATCTTAAGCAACAATAGCTATGAAATCAAGAGCTTGGAGTGCTGATTATGTATCTTTTCTAGTATGTATTATGAGAGTATTTATAAATATAAAAATAAAAATAATTCATCCCTTAATGACCTTAAATTATGTTTCTACAATGTAGAAAACCTTGTCATAATCAATATGAAATTTAAAATAGATGGTGAAAACTTTTTAAGAAGAGAAAATAGTCTGAGAATTTTTTTTTTAATAAAGACCATTACCCTGGACAGCTCTGGGGGGAAAAAAAAAAGGTTTCCAATATTATTGTCTAATAGAAAGAACTCTGGTCTAGAATTTTGCTCCACCCTGCCACACTCTATGCTTCAGTTTCTCATGTTTAGGGAGATTTTTAAAAAGCCACATATCAACCTGACATAACCTTTCCTATTCAGTATACACTATTAAAGAGGATCCAACAGCAAGGGGCCGGGATGATGAGAAAGGTTGGGAGGAACTGGTGGTGTTTCATCACAGAGACCAGGCCACTTAGGAGATGACATCAGAGTGCTGAAAGGCTCTGATCAAGGATGTGAAGTACAGGAGAAAAAGTTTCATGCAGAGAACAGAGCTCTTTGGGTGGGTTTGGGATGTAGCTGGAGCTGTTCAAGAAGTGAGGGGATCAATCACTGGTCTGTGATGTTGAAGAAGGTCATGTACTGGGTAAGGGTTGGATAGATAGTATCAGACCCTTTCCCACCCTGCTAATAATAATAGGCACCAATGATTAAATGCTTGCCAAGGTGGACTACACATTTTAATATACTTTATCTCGGGGCGCCTGGGTGGCTCAGTCGGTTAAGCAGCCGACTTCGTCTCAGGTCATGATCTTGCGGTTCATGGGTTTGAGCCCCACGTCGGGCTCTGTGCTGACCGCCAGCTCAGAGCCTGGAGCCTGTTTCAGATTCTGTGTCTCCCTTTCTCTCTGACACTCCCCTGCTCACACTGTGTCTCTCTCTCTCTCAGAAATAAATAAAATATTAAAATAAATAAATTTAAAAAAATAATATACTTTATCTCATTTAATTTCCACAATAACCCATGAGATAGGTATGATAGTAACCATTTTACAAATGGAGTAACTGAGTCTAAAATTTTTTAGAAGCTGAATGTGAACTCAAGCCAGAGTGACACAAAAAGCCCATCTACTAACTATTATGTTATATTATCAGTGTGGTCTGGGAAAGATAAAGTTTTTGTTTTGCTTTGCTTTGCTCAGAAAGTTTCTTTGCCCATTTAGCCAAACTGAAGCCAAGCTGTCTTCTTGAAAAAAAATTTGTTGTAAACTGTAATTGTGCAAAAAGGAAACTGAAAAGCCATTGCCATTATCTCAGCTGGCTTCCTTCAAATTTCTGAGAAAGCCAATATATTTCCCAAGGAAAACTTATTTAATTGTAATCTCTGTTTTGAGAGTAGAGAACAGAATGGAAGAAACCAACATATCCTAAGGAAAACTTATGCTTTTAATTTTTGTGTTTTTGTGTTTTTAATAGAGAACAAAGGAATCCAGAAGCCATGTTACTTAGTCACCCAAATGATGTTACAAAATCAGTAAAAGCTTTGGTTTCTTTTGTTTGTCTGAATCCTTTTGAAAAAAAAATCACATTTATTAAAGTATGTTCGAGGAAAGGGAGAGGCAGATTTCATATTTTAGCACCTTGGGGTATCTCAAATAATGTCAAGGAGTATCGGAATGTTTTCCAAACACAAATAATTCAAAATCATTTAAAAGAAATCTGTGTCTTAATCATGTTTTAAGTAGAAAATTTAGGAAGTCAAGCAAATAGTCACAGCAGGTGGTCTCAAAACTCTAAAAAGTTTTGATTGGAACTGGCTTAATAACAACTATAAAAACTGAAAGAAAGAAAAAAGCCAGGGGGTGAGGAACAGGGAGGAGGAGAGAAAGGAAGGCAGGAAAGAAGAAAAGGAGGAAGGAAGGACAGACACTTGGAACCACAGTACTCATTCCTACTGCTTATTACTGAGTTTGGCATTTATTGTCTTGAAGAAAGATACTGAGAAAACTGATTGTTATCTCTACTGCATTGTCTTATAGATCCACATATTTCTCTTAATCTCTATATTATTAAACTCACATTCAAAATTAAAAACAATACTTCTACTTTGAATCTTGATATAAGATCCCACGGTGGGATCTTTTTCTTCCTATCTTAATTTCCCTCCTTACTGACTTCTGAGAAATCTTCTCATTTTTTTCATCCATGAAATATTTCAACACTACCAATATCATCAGTGTGGGAACCAAAGTGGCATTCTACCATCCTCACTAAATATTGGGGCAAAGATGCTTTACCTTGAAATGCTGTAAATGATTAATATTGCTCTGGAGGCCAGAACTTTGAATAACCAAAAGTCCTATTCAATAAACATATGTTGTACTGGAAAACCTTGCCTTACATTGATGCTTTATCTTCTTTGCCAGTGCTGAGAATGAGAAATGATCTTTCCTTTATTTTTATAACCTCCAGCAAGGTGGTTTGCTAGAGATAAACTCATAGAAAATAGTTACTGAATTAATGAATGACTATATGCGTGGATTAATGGAATTTATTTGATGATAATGGAATTTTTTATTTGACGATTTCTTCACTTGAAGATTTATAAAATGCTATTGATTTCCTAAAATGCAATAGGAAATAGCTCATATTTCAAGTAATAGCCAAGAAAGTAGGAGGCGAGATTTGGGCATATTTTATTTTAGATTTGGTATTTTTCTTAATAGCCAGTGGAAATGCTGGGATATATCTCTCACAGCTCAAAAAATGAGGAGAATTCTGCCGTCCTTTATCCATTAACATACTGGAGGAAAAAGGATGTTTAGCATCTAAAGACTAATATATTGTGATCTTTTGAATCAAGAAATCTGGCATTTCTTTCATTTTGAAATAAACACCATGGACCCCTCTGTGTACAGAAATATGATAAATGCAGATCTTAAAATTTTCATTAAACATTCTTCTGTAAGTTAAACCCAGGCACACAGTCATGTCTAAACGTACTTAGTATTTATTTTTTACTCTTTAAAGTGAAGCTATTTACATTTGACCTTAGAAGGCAAACCATATCAATAGGACATCAGGGATTAAGCACGGCAGTATTAAAGTCAGAACACTCACATGATTGCAAATGTCTATGCAGATGTCATTAAAAGGAAAAATCACCATAAAATAAATGTTTATTCTTTAATTGGACATATATTGAACAATCTGTACTTAGTTCTAAAGTTCAATCAAGGAGAGCTTCTCTGGAGGTGTATTACTACTGTATGAGTGTGGAGAGCAGCGGTGGAGAATGCTTCTGGAAGTCAAGGAGTGGCCTTCCATGGGATATTCAGAAAAGTTAATAGTTCAGTTATTCCCAAGAAGCCTTCTTGCTGCAGACCCGTAATTAATGGTCCCACTGCTCCTCTCTTTCGTTTACACTTTCTTCTTCTTCAGGGAATGCTGATTCATTCTGGCCCTTCAGATGCTTAACTCCTGAAATTATAAAAAATTATGCTCTATTTAAGTGAAATTTATTTCTAACAGATTCATTGCATTACTGCAAGAGATAAAGAAAATGAGTGGAAAGTATTCTCTGGTGTATACATGTTTTCTCCAATAATTTCAACAATCTAACCCTATGTAAACCTTTTAATTCACTGAGAAATAAAAGCACACCCAGCCAAATTTCCATTAGAGACAGGCTCCCTTTATAATTAAATCTTCTCCATGAAGAATTGCATCACAGCCTATTAAAAACCTGTTAACTAAAAATCTGCTCACAGTCTCTTATTGTAATTTTCATATATCATTTAGTTCAAATATTTCTTTTGGCACCCCTGAAATCTATTACAACAAGAACCACTGAAGAAACCCCTAGGAACAAAGGGATGTGTGTGTGCGCGCCATTTCTGTACTTTGTAAACAACAAAAGAATCATGATATTGTTAGTCTCCTTTAGGAATCAGAACATACTCATTTGATTATAAAACTTCTGTATACAAAATTCTTCAGTAACTTCCCCCACAGCCCACAGAGAGGCAAAACACTGGCACACCTTTGCCTGATACACAGGTATATATGATCTGTCCTCTCTTACCTATCTGGACTCATTCCTTCCCAGCCCTTCCTGCTTGCCCTTTCACAGTAATTTAGGAGTTAGGAGTTAGCAACACTAACCTCTTCCACATTCCCTGATCACTCCAGGCTCCCTCAAGCCTCCCAGCTTTTCTCATTCTATTCTCACTGCCAAATAGCTTCTTTCCACTCACCCACCTGATAATCTCCCACTCATGCCTCCGCCTCAGCCTGCCTCTTCTGTGAAGGCTCCTCTTATTTTGCAAGTGGACTTGGCTAGGTCTTTCTTATATTTCACTACTGCTCTTGGATCATTTTCTCTTGTATCAATTACCTTATAGAAGTGATTTGTTTACATATCTTTCTCATTAGAGCAAACTTCTTGATGTCAGAATTATGTAGTTTCAGTTTGAGGTCCCAGGTATGATGCCTGGCAAATAGTTGGTGCTTGTTAATATGGATGGAATAAATGACTGATATAGTTAGTTAATAAATAACTTGGTGGATGTCTTGGTGTATTTATCTTTCAGAATTTCAAAATTAATCCAAATTTTGAGTATAAACCAGAAGGCAATTACCACAACCATTGTCAATCTACAAAACTACCTTTCATTTCACTTGGATCTGTTCCGTTAACACATACCAGGGCACACTTGATGCATTGATACTTAACATGAAAAATTTTATACATATTGCATATTTTAGAAAATTGGTTTATGAGATTTTTCTGTTATTATTGAAAAATATTCCAGTTAGAATTGATAAGTGAAAGGAAGTGTCTGCTCTTGTTTCCTATGAAACAAGAAACTAAAAAAAAAAAAAAAGTGTAGATTTGCATGTACTGTAGTTAAAGAGCCCCCAGAGTGCTGTTTGGCAAAGAATGACATCCTTGGGCTTGGTGGATTTTCTTGCAAAAATATTTGATCAGTTGTAATAATATTTAAATACTTTAATTTCATCTGTAAACACAAACCACTCACAATTCCTGGTGACCCAAAACTGAGGAAAGAGAGACATTTATTATTAACAAATGGAACTTATTTCATATTATTACAAATTACAGGGTGGGAGGAAGAGGTCTAAATGTTAAGGAGAAGGGAAGCAAATGCATTCATTTGATCAGCATCCAGTTGCTCTGCTAGAGTCTTACATACCTGAGTCACTAAACCTCACAACTCCATGACAGAAAGACGCGGATGGTAAAATTTAGACTTGAAGAAAGTATGTGATTTGTTCATGGTTGTAAGGATAGTGTATTTTTTTTTTATTGTTTGTTTGTTTAGAGAACGAGCATGAGTGGAGGAGGGGCAGAGAGAGGTAGAGAGAGAATCCCAAGCAGGCTGGTCCCTGGTGTCAGTGCAGAGCCTGATGTGGGGCTTGAACTAATGAACCATGAGGTCATGACCTGAGCCAAAATCCAAGTCAGATGACCAACGAACTGAGCTACCCAGGTGCCCAAAGGACAGGGTAGTTTTAAGAGAAGTTATGATACATCATATTCATGCAATATATATTGATTTACTGAATAGATGAATAAGTGAGTGAGGCATAAAGTTTTTTGTCAGGAGACCCTAACTCATTTTCACCTTTAGTTTTGTGATTGCTGACCTAGATTTTCCCATCATTCTCTAGGATTTATTGTAGATTTAGAGTACCTATTAACCAGGCTCAGACAATCTTGAGATTTTCTCTGAAATATTAAAGAACAGTCATCTTTCAGCCACCTGTCAGTCTCCTGAACTGAAATTGTCTGTACTTCTCTAAGTATGAAAAGGTTCTGCTACCTCCAGAGCTCATTGCTTTCATCCACAAGGTAACTACAGAGCAATAAAGTTGTGTTCAACACATTTTTTTTTTTAAATTAGGATTAATAACTTAATGGCAACATTGATTTGTTTACATGTGGGGCTCAAACATAAAAAAAAATATGGTAACCAAAAAGTCCAACTTACTAAACCATTAGTCAATCATTTCCCTTACTTGAGCATAGGGCTATTCGCTTATCCTTATACACATTTGATTTATTTCATAATAATGGTCACAGAGTTATAATAGGAACCTTTTTATTTTTTACTTCTTTTTTTAATGTTTTATTTATTTCTGAGAGAAAGAGAGGCAGTGTGAGCAGGGGGAGGGTCAGAGAGAGAGGAAGATACAGAATCCAAAGCAGGCTCCAGGCTCTGAGCTGGCAGTCAGCACAGAGCCCAATGCGGAGCTAGACCCCACAAACCATGAGATCATGACCTGAGCCGAAGTTGGATGCTTAACCAACTGAGCCACCCAGGTGCCCTTGGGAATCTTTTTTTAAAAGTAAAATAAGTCACTTGGCCAAACCTTGGAAGGTGCCTTTCTTAGCCTTTTTCAGGTGTGACATTAACTATTTATAGGTGAAAGATTTGGTGAGGCAGGAGTTGATAATTATTGAACATCTCCACAGAACCACACATTCTTTGGATCTCAGAGCAATTTGCATTCATGTCTTCCTTCTGTTGGATAACAGATAGTTGGTTAACTGAGTTCTGAATCTTTTCTACCAACAACATTTGTTTGGTTATACAAGCAATAATACTAAGATTAAAGTGTGAGGTCCATGAGGACTATCTAATAATTTCTTTCTCACCACTCCCTCTTCTTGTTCCCAAAGACACATAAACTTTGTGCATATATTTTCTTTAACCCTTCATTGAATCTTAAGGTCATTGTGGAGGTGGAAGAAAGTAACTTGGGCTGAGGACTTGATAAAAATCCTCAGAGCCTCCTCCTCTGCCAAATGCTAATAATCATGTATTTAAACACCTTGGCTGCACCAGCAGGCTTGGCATGGCATGCAGCACACACTTGGCTGGCCCTGCATGCAGGCAGAAGGCAAGGGGATCCCCCCAAATACAACTGAGGTTCTTTTCTCCATAGCAAATGAACACAGAAAAAGGAACCAAATGTAAGACCAAAATATACAGTATGAAGACATGAAGGAATGAAGAAAACAGAGGATGAGGAAAGGAAACTAGAATGAGTACAAGAAGGAAAGGAAAGGAAATACATGTTGGCCCAAATGGGACAGAATCCTCCTGGTTTTCTCCAGTCTATAGATCAGGTGGGTAAATGTGAGTTGGATGAAACTGTAAGGTGACTGAGTGACAGATTATGAATAATGAATCCGCAAAGGGAAGCTTATATTTGGCAAGCCGTAGGTCAATATGTTTATCAATTAATTTGGAGTGACAGAAGGCAGGCTTATTTACATCTGTAGATGACATAACACTTAGAGGAAAAGATGGCATGACAAAAGACAAAACGAATACTCCAAAAGCTTTCTAACAGCTGGGAAGAGGCTGATGGGAGTAAGATTCAGATCAACAGGTAGTTTCATTTTTAGAAAGATTACATTGCTTCTGGGGGTTGCTTTAGGGGCACCTGGGCAGCTCATTCAGTTAAGCATCTGACTTTGGCTCAGGTCGTGATCTCATAGTTCATGAGATTTGGCTCTGTCCTACACCATGGAGCCTGCTTGGGATTCTCTCTCTCCCTCCCCTTCTCTCTTTCTGCTCTCTCCCTCACTTCCCTATTCTATCTCTCAAAATAAATAAATAAACTTAAAAAAAAAAAAAAAAAAAAAGAGGGGCACCTGGGTGGCTCAGTTGAGTGTCCAACTCTTGGTTTCAGCTCAGGTCACGATCTCATGGCTTCATGGGTTCCAGGCCCACATTGGGCTCTGCACTGGCAGGGAAGAGCCTGCTTGGGATTCTCTCTCTCCCTTTCTCTCTCTCTGTCCCTCCCTAACTTGTGCTGTCTCTGTCTCTCTCAAAATAAATAAACTTAAATTTTAAAAAAATACTGAAGAAAAAAATTTTTTAAAAAACAAAACAAAGATTACATTGCTTCTAAAAAATACAGAATGAGGGAAGCCTCAATTAATTATAGTTAGGGGTTTAAGGTGATCACAATTCCATCATGACCCAGTAGAATCACCTGTTTAGGGAACAAACTCTTGGTAGTGTCAGCAAAGCATTCCTAACAGCAGTCAGTTGTTTAAGGAACTACTCCCCAACCGTGGGTTGTCAGACCTTTTCTGGAATATGCTGCCTAATTGTGAGCTCTCTGTTTCAAGAGTGCCATTAACTGATATTAAAAGTACTTTTATTAAATCACTTTTCTAGAACAATTGTATCTGAAACTGGAGTGCCTGGCAGAGAGAAAATTAAGAGAGAACAAAAGAGGCTGCCGCTGAATTCCTAAAAGACTGAAAAAAGAACTAAAATGTATCTATATAGCTCCTGAGAGCAGAAATAGGATCAGTAATTGACATTTATGGGGTGAGGGCAGATTATAGCTCAATATAAAGAAGAAAATCCTAAACTCTTTGTTTGCCCAGCAATAAACATGTGAGTGAGCTCTCATCACTGTGTGAGTTCAAGTCT